TATTGTTTTCCTGTTCCCTTTGAGCTTTCTTCTCCTTCTGGATGAAGGGCTTCCTTCTCTTTATTTTGTAATTATAGACCTTTTGCTGTTCCCAGCTCCCTCATTCTATGGAAATGTACCTGTTGCAGCTTTTTGGCTTCCCTATTCTATGGAAATGTAACTTCTGCTGCTCTGTAGCCCTGTGCTTCTTCCATGGTCCCCTTGATTTCTAAAATTTTCTAAAACCTGTCTTTTCCACCCCTAAAAATTCCTGTTTTACTATTAAACCCAGGTTCAAATCACCTCTTAGAGTTATTCATCTCTGGGTATTATCACATGTATGCATGACACACATGCTAATAAATTGTTTGTTTTTCTCTTGTTACTATGTCTTTAATCCAAATGCAGGATCCCAGTTAGAAAACCTAGAAGGCTAAAAGGGAAAATAATTTTTGTCTTCTATAGCCTTTTGGGAAAAAGTTATGTTTTTTAAGGTGTTATATTCTAAAACTGGCTTTTTTTCTGGTTCAAGAAGAGGTAACTGTTACAAAATTTTAAAGGGTAGTAGTAAGGCTTCATTTGTTCACCCACTGGCTGATACTTGAGATTTAATATTTGGTATTTTAGTTGAGCTAGCAAGATTTTGATTTTTATAAAACACACACTCTTTCTGCGCAGACTACGTAGAGCCTAACTGGCTGATTACAGCCTATCATACTTCTGTGAGTGAGTTTATTCCACAACTTCCTTGAATGTTTAGCGATCATAAAAAGGTAAAATATCATGAAAAAATGATTGTTGGTGAGTGGCAAAGAAGCATAATTGGGAAGGAAAGTTATATAAAAAGTACTAGAAAACACCTTTGCCTACTTCGTAATTCCTTAGGGTCTGCCATTCTGTACTCAGAATTGTGTTGGGGAAAGGAGACTCCAGAGGCTATTGCAGAGTGACAGAGCTAGGAAAGGAATGAAGTCTAATAAATTCAGGTACAAACAGAGGTAGAGGGAAACCCAGGGACAAGGAGATCAAAGTTCTTCATCATTGCCATGTGGAGCCATGCCTGAGCCTAAGGCCAAAAGAAAAACATGCGCCCCCAAATATAAACAAATTTCACTTGTGAAACTAAGTAGAAAATATTAATAAAAGCTGAACAATAATCAATTATAACTACATATAAAGCTCTGTGTTGCCCAACCTGTTCCCATGCTATTTTTAGCCCTCATTAACCCCCTTCATGTGATGTGACAGAACTGTGGCTAGAACCCGGCTCATTAGAAACAACTATTCCTCTTGCATTACAAAGGGTCTTAAAACAAACAATGACTTGTCTTTATTTATAAGTTTTTTCACCAAATATTTTTGCATAATTTATAATTATAAAACTTAACTGTCAAATTTCATAGTGCTCCCTTTTGTATTTTGAACTGAGGAGAGTGCCTTACTTGCCTTACCCTAATCCTGGCCCTGTTGCTCATACACATTTCAGTTCAACAGAGGACTAAGCAATTATATAATTTGTGACAATTATATAACAATTATATAAAGACAATTTTATAATGTGATTCATGTCTTCTTCCTTATCTTCTTTTTTTATCCCTTTGTATTGTATTTCTGCAGTGACTAGGACCTCTATTACCATGTTGATTTGAAGTAGTGACATTGTGTCTCATTCTCAAATTTGTGTGTTTAAAAAATTGTTACTATTATTTCATTATTAGGATTCATTATTAGTGTAGAATATTGTTAGTTGTTGGTTATCAGGTTAAGGAAGCCTATTCGTATTTGGCTAAGAGTTTTTATCAGACAATAGTGCAAATTTCATCAATTGCATTTTCTTCAGCTGTAACTGATATATCTCTTTAATCTGTTATTATAATACTAGAGGCTTGGTGCACAAAATTTGTGCATTGGGGGGTCCCTCATCCCGGCCTGCGCCCTCTCGTAGTCCAGAACCCCAAGGGGGATGTCCACCTGCCAGCTTAGGCCCAATCCCCAGGGATCAGGCCTAAGCCGCAGTTGGACATCCCTCTCACAATTTGAGATTCCTCGCTCCTTACCACCCACCTGCTCATTCCTTACTGCTCAGCTCGCTACTCCTTAGCACTGTTGCGGAGGCAGGAGAGGCTCCCGCCAACACCGCTGGACTCACCAGCTATGAGCCTGGCTTCTGGCTCAGCGTCTGCTCCCCCTGTGGGAGTGCACTGACCACCAGGGGGCAGCTCCTGCATTGAGTGTCTGCTCCTGGTGGTCAGTGCACATCATAGTGACCAGTCATTCCGCTGTAATGGTCACTTAGGCTTTTATTATGTAGATAAATTACATGAATTGATTTTGTTATGTTCAAGTATCCTATTTTTAGCATAGGTATTGTGGATGAAATGGGCCACATGCTGACCTGACAAGCTCAGGGGAGGCCTGCATGGCAGTCTTGCAAACTCAGAGACCTAAAGTAACCACAAAGGATGGTCTGAAATTAAACTTTAAAAGCAGTTATGGTGGGCAGTTACGTCCTTGGCCAGTATGTTCACTGACAAGGTCAACCTTTACCTTAACTGAGCCTATCTGTCTTTTTGCATCTATGATAACATACCCTTGAAATGTTTGGGTAACTTGTAACTTCACTTTTTCTGGAGACCCTAGGGCACAACCAAATGTGCTGGGCACCAGGACAGATACCACAAATTCCTTCATTATCATGTTAATTGATCCTGCACCCACCTAAGTGTGTGTCCATCATTTTACTTTTTATCCAATCCCAGGGTTTTCCCTTGCTTTGCTTTATCCCTCCTCATTAATCTATCACCAATGAATTTCATGTAACCTACCTACGACCCTCTTTTGATTGCAATGTATAAATACAAATGTAACCCTGCCATTCTCTGGAGCATTATCTCAATTCGTTGAGGTTCTGCTTCCTGGCATATGTGAACAGTTTGGCTCAAATAAACTCACAAAAATTCTTTACAGGTTCCAATGGTTTTTTTTATATTAACAGTATCTAGTTAGTGTTAATAAAGAGAGGGAACAAAAGGAATCAAACATTAAGTGTAATAAACTAGGTAGCTGAATTAAACAATAAGTCTGCTTCCCTAGGAAGTTGAAGCATTCATAGGCTTCTCAGGAGACCACTGCAGCCTCCACCCTCAGGACCTAATCCCTGAAGTGGCCAGGAAGGATGTCACAGGTCATTAGCTGGGATTACTCAGGGAGGAATAAAAACAGCAGAAGAAATTCCTGTTGAGCCATGTGCAATAGAAGCCAAGATGCCAACCATAAGGGAAAAGTGTCTGTCCTGGGAAAAATATCAGATTAGTAAAGGGACCCAGAACCCAGAAGATCTAGGAAATTCATTGGTTAGGGGAGGGCCCAGCACAAGCTCATGAAGGACTGGGAAACTGATTGATTTGTTTGAAAAAGTACCTGTTCCATCCCAAGCCCAAGATATCAAAGTCAGTCTCTCTCTCTCTCTCTCTCTCTCTCTCTCTCTCTCTCTCTCTCCTGGTAACACATATTGGTTTGTCCATCGTTTCATGCATTCTTTCTCCATAAAAGCCATGTGGGCCTAGTAGCCAGGTGGGCCCCAAGCAGAAGCTCCAAGTGCAAGCCTGGGTAGAGCAACACAGTGCCAACCGTAGTGCTTCAGGGAACAAGAGCAAGCTAGCCAGATGGGGACAGAGTCTGAACTAGACTGACTCAATGGCACAGAATTTCTGCTTCCTGGCCTTTCTTCTGGTATTAAAGACAAGACTGGACTTCTTCCATAGTGGGACAGAGCTGAACCCAGGACAGTCCTTTTTGTTTGCTTCAGCTTCAATAAATCTTACCACCAGACCTTATGCTCCCATGCATGGTCAACAAAATGCTTTTATCAAGACACCTCAAGGACCCCAATTCCACAAGCAACACTTATTTTTTTTGGATTACTGCTGATTACATTTTCCTTTATTTTATTCAGGATTTTTCCTTCTAATCACTTGTTATTTTTTTCTTATATTATCATATAATATTTATTCCAATGTTATACTAGATTCAAAAGAACTTGGAAAGCATTCTTTCATTTTCCACCCTCAAGAATTTTGTATAAAATTTAAGTGATTTATTCCTTAAAATTTTGGTAGACTTCACTGTAAAACCATTGAACCTCTTGTTTTTTTTACTGGGCAGATCTTTAAATTCAGGTTCTATGACTTATATATCTGAATTCTTTGTAAATTTTGGTTGTGTTTATTTATGTATTTGTTCATTTTTTTTCTGTTTTAAATTTTTTAGTAATTTTTTCATGGTTCTATTTCTTCTGACTGTTTTTGCTAAGTTGTACTCTTTAAAAAATAAGTCCTTAGCAAAATTTATGATTTTATTGGGATAAAGTTGTCCATAATATCCTCTTATTATAATTTTAACTTTTAGGATCTATAAGATGTCCATTTTTCATCCCTGATATTTAAAGTTTGTGCTTTCTGCATTTGTTGATTAGTTTTTCTAGAGTTTATCACTTTGGTTCATCATTTCAAAGAAAGAATTTATTGCTTTGTTAATTCTCTTTTGTTTGTTTTCAAGTTTTTGATGTTGCAGATCATGCTCCCTGGGAAGCAGACTCCAAGTGAAATTTGGCACAGTAGGTTGATTAGGTAGTGTTCTTGGAATTAACACCTACAGGGAAAGGATTGGAAGACAAAGAAGTTGGGTTCTGGTTCTTTCACAACAAAGGCTGCAATCAGTCCCACAGAGTTCTGAAACCGGGATGGCCTTTCAGAGTTATGAGTTGATGTGATTGGGCCAGGACTTCATAGCCCTGCATCCACATTGTTGGATGCTTCCGGGAAGGGTGGAGGGAGACTTCTGGTGAGACTGTTCTACCAGCCAACAGCACTCCAGCAGCTCACAGAATGATTAGTTTAGTAAAGGGGTGAAACACAACATCCAATTTAGAACTTAGAATATCTGCTTTTAAGATTCATTCTACTTGAGCCAACCTCCACATATGTGTTGAAAGCAGCAGCTTCTTTATGATTCTGATGGGCTTTTTTTTTTTGGCTGGGTACAGTGAACTTTATTGATGGTGCACGACCAAACAGGGCTCCCTAGGCCCCTCCCCTTCTCCAGGGGGTCTGGGATTGAAACGGTGGTCAGGAGATGCTCAGTGTGTCGGGGGATCGTTCTGGGGCAGGGACTCCCCAGCAGCAGAGGGCCTCTCTTCCTCTTGCTGGGGCTGGTGGTTCAGGGGACTCTTACTCCCTGGAGGCCATGTGGACCATGAGGTCCACCACCCTGTTGCTGTAGCCGAATTCATTGTCATAGCAGGAAACGAGCTTGACAAAGTGGTCACTGAGGGCAATGCCAGCCCCAACATCAAAGGTGGAGGAGTGGGTGTCACTGTTAAAGTCACAGGAGACCACCTGGTCCTCAGTATAGCCCAGGATGCCCTTGAGGGGGCCTTCTGATGCCTGCTTCACTACCTTCTTGATATCATCATATTTGGCAGCTTTCTCCACCCGGCAGGTCAGATCCACAACCAACACATTGGGGTTGGGGACACGGAAGGCCATGCCAGTGAGCTTCCCATTCAGCTCAGGGATGACCTTGCCCACAGCCTTGGCAGCTCCAGTAGAAGCAGGGATGATGTTCTGGGCAGCCCCTCGGCCATCACGCCACAGCTTCCCTCCCCCCGCCCCCCCCCCCACTAATCGCATTGCACCCACCTTGGCTGGCCTGGAGCCAGTGCATTTCATAGCGTGGTCGTCCGGACGGTTGTTCTGCTATTCGGCCATTTGGTCTATTTGCATATTATGCTTTTATTATTATAGATGTTGCTTTTAAGAGGTATCAATGTTTGTTTCTGTGTTGGGGTGAGGGAGCCCATACTACTGAAATCAAGGATAGTCTACCTCTCACCACCATAGCCACCATGTTCACATGCCCATTATGCCAGCATATTGGTTGCTTTCAGCTGAACAAGTCATTTGTCAACTAAGGTTTTACTTCTTCCATATAAGCATACAATGGCGGAATGTGAAAATTATTTAATATCTAATAAATGTTTAGGAACAGCATTCTGAGATGTGGAATATATTGCCTCCTGTATCCAAAAGGTACTACTTAATGTTATGTTTCCTCCTTGTTGATGAGAAATGCAATAAGCACTAATTTTTTCTTTACCTTGTGGATGTCCCTTGAAGCCCAAACCACTGAACTCCTAAATTTCACTGACTTGGCAGTCTTTATTCTTTGTAATGTAAGAGATTATTATTTTTTCTATATTGATATTCAGTTGTTCCAGCTCCATTCTTTCCCCCATTAAATTACATTGGCTAATTTGATAAAAACCAACTGACTACATACCCATGCATACATTTTTGGATTATATGCTGTTCCATTACATCTAAATATTTGTCCTTGTTCCAATACTCCACTCCCTTCATCATTGTAGCTCAGGTATCATATATTCTTTAACATTGCTGTTTCTTTTAATTTTTAAAATTGCTTTAACTATTCTAAATTGTTTTAATTACATAAAAATGTTAGAATTAGCCTTTCAATTTTTACAAAAGTTCTGCTGATGTTTTAATTTATTAAAATTAATATTTATTATATGTATCCACATAAATATAAAATATAGTTTCATTGTATGTATAGCTTTATTTATTTTATCTTGCTCCAGATTCAGTGTGCTTCTTAAATCTTAGCATTTATGCTATTTATCAATTTTGAAAAATTCATGATATTTACCCTTTTTCTTTTTGCAATTATCCTATTTCAACCTATTGCCTTTTTGCCCACCTTTTTTTCTCAAACTGTTTTTAGTCTCTGTAAAATCCTCAACTTTTTCTCATGATTAATTAATGGTCTTTTGGGAAGTCTTAACTATTTTATAACCAGTGTGTCAGAGACTAGGGTTTGTTCTCTCAATATCCATATTCTTCTTTGTAGTAATACAATTTTAGATTAATAATTGTCCACCTGCCTATTCCCAAGCTTCCATGCAAGTACTTATGGTCTAATCAATGAGACATAGTAAAATTGATGTGTACAACTTCTGGAAGGAGAGGAGTAGGTCCTCCTATTTTTCTCTACCACTGGGGCACAGTGGGGTATAGATGTGATGGCAGGTTGTGGAGCAGCCATGCTGGGCACAGACATAAAAACTTACTGAGGATGTTACAAAAAGAAATCTGATTTCATGACAGTAAGGAAATGCCTTACAACCACAGGAGCCCTGAGTTGCTTGCATTTATGAAAGAAAAAAAAAACATCTATCTTATCTGAACTACTATTTACTTGAAATTGTGTTACAGTCTCCTATATTCTATCAGAGCATATTTCTAAGTAATAAACCCCATATATTGGAAGTTGGTTTTTTAAAAATTTAATATATTTTTCATTTTTACAACCTCTTTTTGGCCTCTTTCCAAATATATATGTGTTTTTTTATGCCATCTTATTTCTTACAGTAACAGATTTGTTCTTTCCTGCTTTATTCAATTTAAAGACACTTATTTAATAGTCTTGGTGTCAATCAGAGTATGATCTGAAAAAAGAACTATCAGATTTGTATATAATAAGGGATTTGCCCTTATATATTTGTGGGAGCTTGTTAAATAGTCTTTGTGAGGCCATTGTTTCTGTGTCTAGTGCTGAGCCTGAAGTCATGAGGACATGCAAAGAGGATGAAAAGATGGGTGTGAAATGCGGAAAGCAAGGTCAAACCAGGACCTGCAAGGATAAGCCAGAATCCATCAGGAAAAACTGGACTCCAGGTCAACCTTTCACTGCTTCCAAGTCTCCAAAATCAAAGCTGTGATGATTTGCAGGAGGAGCTGGGACCAAAGAGTACCTCATTCAGAACCAGAGAGGCTGACTGGGGAATCTGGCAGGTGTGGCATTACTGTAAACCTAGCTATTGTCCTACTTCAATAAGTGAGACAGTCAATAAACAACAACCTACATGAGCAGCAACAGTACCTTGTGCCCAGCACTGACTTCTGAGAGTAAAAAGAATATAGCTCCTATTTCACTTCACCCTTCCAAATCCCATACAATTCTCTCACAGCTGTCACTAACACAAAACTAGGCTGAGAGGGGAATTCTGGGAAACATAATTCCAGCTTAATTAATGAAGTAGAATACAAATCCACTACAGTATCTGTGGTATCCAACCTTGAAGATTTCCCTGATAAATGGTCTCCTATTGGTCACACCCTTGTGTTGATCCCCTCCCACATTTAATGGGACTGACCTATGTGAGGAATAGGATATTACCAAAGTGACAGTGTGTGATTTACCAGGTTTGATCATTAAAGACATTACAGCCTCCTTCTTGGTCTCTTACATCGTTCCTTCTGGGGACATCTAGCTATCATGTTGTGAGGACAGTCAAGCAGACTTATCAAGAAAACCACATGGAGAAAACCAAGGCTTCCTGCCAAAAGCCAACACCAATTTGCCAGCTAGGTGAGTTAGCCACCTTGGAAGCAACTTTTCAAACCCCAATGAAGTTCCTATGCTCTGAATGTTTGTGTCCTCTCAAATTCATATGTTAAAAACCTAATGCTCAAGGATGTGGAGGCTCTGAGAGGTGATTAGGTCATAAGGGTTGAGTACACATGAATGAAATTAGCGCCTTTATTAAAAAGGCCCCACAAAACTCCCTTGCCCCTTTCATCATGTGAGGATACAGGGGGAAGGTGCCATCTAGAAAGTGAGCTCCCACTAAACAACAAATATGCAGGCACCATGATCTTGAACTTAGACGCCTGCTTATACCAACCTGAACAGACTAAGATAGAACTCTTCAGACCATTTCAGCTAGTCGCCCTCAAGTCTTCCAGCTCACACCACAACCAACATGTCTCTACAAATAATGCTCTCCGCGCTGAGTTTGTGACCTATACAAATGGTGAAGTAATATAATTAGTGTTGCTTAAGCCATTTGGCAATGGTTAAAAAACAACAACAGTGTTTAGTTCTTCATAGTGGTTTAAATGGATTTCTTTTATGTTATGTAATTTTGTATTATGAATTCATTTTAGAGGGGCTTTTGATCTGAAATTCCACTAGATGTTTTGGTTTGAGGATGCTTACAGTCAGAGCGTTTTGCTTTTGTTTCTGTCAGGTGAATGAGGGGTTTCACTGAATTGAGTATAATTTGACATTAATACTTTGAGCCTGAGGATTCCCAGATTTTATATATATATACCAAATTCACATGAGGTGAAAATCCATTGTCTTACTTTGTATTTCTCTGAAAGCATTACTTAATGTAATGACTTGTATGTAGGTGTGGGTGATCCCAGAAAGTCAGAAGGTGAGAGTAAAGACAGTAAGCCAGGGAAGGATGTAATGCCAATAAAAACCGTGCTATTGAGCTATAGTCATCCCTGGAGGCAAATGAAGTTCAGCCTTCCTGGGGCATCTTCTAAGAAACAAAGTGGAAATTTTATCAGAATTTCTCCTTTTAAAAATCAGGAGACATAGCTCCATTGTGAAGGGACCTCCTGAGGAGTGAGAGGTCCCAGCCCCACATCAGGCCCCCAAGCCCAGGGTTCCAGTGCCAGGAAGAGTAATTCCCATACCTTCTGGCTATAAAAACCAGCAGGGATTGTGGCTGAGTGAAATGGGTGATCCTGAGGTCTCAGGCATTCGTCCTAAAGGGCCTATATGGACTTACTCAGATGCACTTGCTCTGAGCTCCAGCACTGGGTCAGCGTCTAGAAAGGCACCAGTGTCTTATGAGGAGGAACTGCCTTGTCTGGCCTTAGAATGAGAGCTGGAGGAACAGTGTTCTCCCAGACAGAAGTTCTGACAGAGGCCACTGTTCTTTTTCTGAGTGTGCCCCCAACCCCACCTCCACAGAGCTGGCTGGCAGACACCATATCTGAGTCTCCATCAACCTGGCTAACACTGTTTGCTTTGCCCTGGTGAATTTCCTGAGACCCTGCTCCACCCAATTTGATGGCCCACCTAGCTTTTTCCTGTGGCTTTTCCATACAAATGGGCTGTCCTTGCTCATGCTTTAGATATTCCTAAAATATATAAAACAAGCAGCATCTGGCCTTGGTTGTGCCATACCTCTTGCTAAGTGGCCTCAGGTCTGGCATTTAGTTCCCAACTTGACCTCTCCTGGGCACCTGCAAGCCAAGCATAAGTAGCAGCCATTTGCAGATATTTTGTAGCGCATGTTAGGTAGCCCTGGAAGGGCACAGGTATGGCTGAACTTGGTCTGCATCTCAGAAGGGCCCAGAACCAGCACATCTGGTAGATAGCTACAGGCCGTGCATGCCAAAGCTTCTCAATGAGCAACGCATTCAAAGTACAGTCTCAGAGAGCATCAGAGCCCTTGTGAAATGGGTCCTGCTCTATGAGATCAGACACTGCACAACAGATTCTCCGCTGTGGTTGTGGCCAGTACTTACAACTGATCAGTCTGTGGTAAATACTTCCTATTGACATTCCAACAGCAATCAAGGCTCAACTACAACAGGAGGGCACACATAGTCCACATGAGGGTGTGCACACCTGGAGCAACAAGCTTGGGTGACAGAGGAGGCTTTGCCACTGGTTCCTACAGGGCACCTACCAGGTAATGTCACTCTACCAAGACCAGGAGACATAGCAGATCTACCTAATACATAGAAACAAACACAGGGAGGCAGCCAAAATGTA